ACACATTTTGGTCATGTGCAAAATAAAAGAGCTTTAATAATACTAAATGTTATATTAAGTGAAAAGCATTTTCATCTCTCAACTTGCCATATGTATGCTTTGTATGTTTGTACATTTTCTACTTGATGAAACTTTCATCACTGTCAGGTTTACAGTACATGCTGTACCAAATTCTGATCCCAAGATCCAGCCTGGAAAGTTGGATTCAAAATTGGAAATCCCTGCAGAGTTAGAACAAGGAACTTTTTACATCTGCTCCATCACTTCCACAGCCGAAAAGGTCTCTATAGTATTGCATTGCACTCTGTTTTCAAAGAGTATTTTCTATTAGTGGTTGGCATTTTTTAAAATACTTGGCATGCTGTGCCATTTTACATTCTTCAACTATGGAAAAGCACAACTGTTTAGTCCAGCAATTTTCCTTATGCATAGTATTTCACTACTTACATAATGAATCACCCTGTCATCACAAAACTGCCTACAGATAACACAAGTCAGATAAACTTTATCAGAAAGTTTGGCTGAAGTCATGGCCAGCCTTCTTACTGTGTAGACGTAGCTAATGTTTAATTCCTCCACTTTCCTCCACGAGTACCTCTCCATACACAGACAGTGAAAACTCTCGTGGAAACCCAACTTTCTGTCAGGTCGAGTTTGCCAAATTCAGGACTCAGAGAGAAGGACAGTTGACACTTTGTCAGTTAAGTGTTAGCTACTGCATACGGTTGAGCTTGTTCTCTGATGCTATTATCTGTACAGCGCTGTTACTCTGAGCTTGAAGCACGTATTAAAACTAGACACATCTGCTGTATCATCATTAGATCAATTTTGTAACAGGGTCCCAGGTATTTAAACAAAGCAAAAGTTAGTTTCTGACCCATCTGCTGTAATACCGTGCATTTATGTTGGCCTCAAACTCTTCAGGTTCGGGCAGCTACTTTTCATTAGATGTCAGTAACATAAAATACAAAGGAAGTTAAATGCTTCATATAAATATAGAACAAAAATTTGATTGGGGACTTTATGTAAGAAACAGCACTTGAAATTGTTTTCAGGATTTAGGTAATTTTAAGTTTTCATTAGTAAAACTACTGCAAAGGAGGTGCAAGAAGGTGCAAAAAGGCAAGAATGCAGGCCACCGAGAAACCACATCTTAGCAACAGTGTAACTCCACAACCCCAAAACTCCACACACTGGGCTCCTGTTCAGGACAGAAATTTTACCATGGTGTTACACAAGCATTTGGATCATGGTTGCCCTGCATGGTTTTACATCAAAGTGTCCTTAGAAGACATCATTAAAGACCATTTGACAATTTAATGCTAAAAAAGTAAGAGTTCATTTCTTAATCTTCATTCTCCTAAGCCCCATTATAGATATTATGCCTAATTTTTGTTACCATGAACTAGACATATTGGTAGCAAGTAAAAAATGCCTGATCATCAACAGCAAATTACTTTGCAAATATAGTAAATCTGCATATAGGAAAGCATTTTAAATATGATTTCCAAATGTTTTTTGGTAACTCCAAACTGCCTGTCACTGTCAGCTCACTGAGAGGAACAGCACTACCCCATCAGCATACTGAATCCAATTTTGTCCTTTCCAATTTCTTAACTGAATATAAATAACAATATTTTTTTTTATTTTCATTATACCCTAAGGAGATCTTTAAAGCATTTTTAAAAAGCCTTGTAATTTGTTTGTACATTAAGTGAATCATTAGACTAGTAAATCAGTTCTTTGTAAGTGATGAACGGAAAACGTACAACCTCTAAATACAAATGAATGTTTCTAAAAAAAAAAAAAATCAGTATTTTTGTCCCTCAGCTACATTTTCTCCTCCCCACTTCCAGCACTAACTTTTTTTGTATCTGCTATACTAGACTTCCCCCAAAAAAGTACTTGCACTTTTGGTTAACCTACTTCAGGATTCTGCTTACAGTAAAATACACTTACTATATTAACACCATCCTTTTCTTTACATATATAGGCACATATGGGGAGCCAAGATCCCAAAAGACAGAAAACAACTACCAAATAATACATATTTAAGAAATTATTGCCAACAAACATTTTAAAATAATTTAATTCTAAATCTACACTTTCATCTTTGTGGTCCTCATACAGGTCTGACCCCCCATTAAGCTCTGTGCATATCTGCTAGGTATATTCAAATACATAATTAAATCATACTTAGTATAGAAACATTTCTAGGTTCGCCTATAGAGTTTTAGATGATTGTTCAATTCAGTTCAGTCTAAGCATTTTAAATAAGCTCTGGTTTTATTTCAAAAAGAGTAGAAATCAAAAATGGAGTTTTCTGGATAACGTAAGAGCCCATTTTATCCCAAAAGAAGCATTTAAATATTAGACTGTTTTCCACACAATAGAGGAGAGTAAAATAAGTGGTGCATAATAGGACAATTTCTGTGAAAAAAATTACATAGGCTATTAGATTTGAAACAGCCAACATAGCTGATATTACAGAAATAATTAAAATAAAAAATAGACATTTTCCAACAAATTTAATACCACTGTATTACGTATCTTGTTATCTACACACTTGAAAACCTCAGAACATATGAAAAAGATCTTGAAATATAAAAAATTCAAGAAGTAGCAAAAGCCATCTATTTCCAATCATGTTTTAATTTCTCATAGTGATCAATACTTTATGGAAAATATATGAAAAGTAGAGTTTTGACAGTGAATTCGCACTCACAAAGTTTAACATCTTATGTGCACGAATTACTATTAAAAAAACCCCCAGATGTCTGTAGTAGCACTAAAAATTTAAGAAGGTAAATAATGCATTCCCACTCAAAGAAATGATGGGCAAGGGGACATTTTACATAAGGAAAAAAAGTCTCAAATTTATACAACTGCCACTGAGAATTTTTACACACTACTTTCTAGTGCATTTAGAATAAAAATATTCTGGTTTTTCTTACAGGAGTAACTTGTCACCTTTATTTCTGATAAGAAATAAACAAAAAAGTACTTTGTCTAAAAGAAATCAAGTACCTATCCAAAAAAATGGAAATACTTCAATGCTAGTAATTGTATTATGCTTCCATTAAAGAAAGAAGTCCAGCTCTTTAAGGAACTCTGTGTGGACTTGCACTTTCTACACAAAAACAGGTAACTGTTTGTTTGTTCATCTTCCTCATGCCCACAACTGCCCATGCCTGTCATTCTTCCCCATAAGACTCAATAACCTGTATGTTTTATTATCGTAGCCAGGTAGTCTGAGGTAGTTGTCCATTCTTTGAATATTCCTACAAAAAAACCCAAACACACTTCCTCACCATACTCTCAGTCTTTGGAATAATTTAAAAATGGAAAGTACGAAGTAGCTATGTAAAACATAAGCATTTTGTTTGTCTAATTGTGTTGACGTCTTCTTTCTCTGTATGTCTATATTCTTAATCTGGTAAGATTCTGCAAATACAGACTTTGATTAAATAATCAATGAAAACAACCTTAAGATATTCCTACTACCAATTTATATGCCTTCTTAACATTTATCATTAAACTATTTATGCTGATCAGTAGTAAGATGGTTTTGAGCAGGTTCACCTACTGCACAAACACAACTGGATACTAGTCAGGAAAGAGATGAAATTCAAAAGTGGTGGCATCACATTAAAAAAAATTAAAATATTACTGTATAGGTGTGAAGTGATTAATAAAACTGATTTTAAAATATGGTGCTCATAAGTTACACTACACTCATTCTTAAGACTTCAACTCTCTGTCTGATTTACCAAAATAACCAAAGCAAAAAATGTGAAGCCAAGAGAGCAGTTAACACAGTCAATGAAACTCAAATGTATTGCAAGTGATTTAAGAGACAAGTGTCCTCCCTGCAACGTAGCACATATGTTTCTAATGGCTTGCTCATGAATGCCATTAAATGTATTAGAGAGAATGAGGCACTAGCTCAAAAGTTCATCTAGCCCACCTAGCCTAGTGTTATCACTTTGCAAGTACCTAGTATGTTAAAGAACAAGAGCATATGCGTGAAGTAGAGAACAACAGCACACTGAAACAAAAAATCTAACTACATAATTTTGGTAAGCTTTTAATTTTTCAGTATTTCCCTTTTTATCTGACGAGCAAAAAACTCTATAAAAGTTGAATAAACTATGCATCACAAGAAAATACATGATGCAATTTTTTTATTTTAAGGAATCGTATGCATTGTAACAATCATTTTTTAAGTATATGGAGCAGAAATTCGACTACCCTGGTTCTGACAGGATCAGATAAAAATCAGAAAAGGAGACAAAACATAAAATGTAGAGGATTTGTTTCACCTCTTCATCAGTTGAACTATATAAAGAAATCTGCTCTTGTATTCATATTTAAAATCTCAGTGGGTATTTATGGGCAAGGCATATAATATAATCCAAAACCAAAAAAGAAATATAGGCATTGCTACTGATTTATTAGACCTGCAGCTTGACTTACTTTAATGGCTATTTGGACCAAAAGTCAAATCCATTTATAATTATTATCATTATGACTTGAAATAGTTCAGTGAAACTTGAAATACTTCCATAAATCTCAGGAAGCCAAATTCTGCATCTTGCAAGCAAGAAAAATTCCACAACTTTGAAAACAAAATGAAGCCAAAATAAATTATCTGCCTATCATTAGTTCATATCCACAAAATCTCCCTTGGAATAGCATTTACGCTTTCTAAAACATGTTGTGTAACACACAAGATTTTTATGAAACTCTACCTACTCAGAAAGCCTACCTGATAAACCGTAAATAATAAATAGCGAATAATGAACAAGTAACACTAGCAAAATTAATTTGAAGAAAGACTTGTTAGTACTCACTGTAATATTTAAACAGGGTTGCCAAAATAAAAAACACTACTACAGTGATAACATTTTTAAAGATCAGCCAGAAATAAAAGGTATGTCCTCAGCAGTGCCTGAAGAGATGTATTTCAGATAATGAGGAACAATGGCATCGTATAGTACCTTCCATTGCCCTTTTAAAGAAGACTTTACAACTTCCACAGGTAAGTACTCCATAGTGGCAACCAGAAGCCTCATCACCGCAGATGAGACAAATCTTCTGGGGTAGCGATTCAAAACCGTATTGCGAGCTTTGGCTGGTTTCTGCATCTGGCCTTCAAAAGAAAGAAGAATTAAGAGAAATTAAATTCCCACTTTTACAACAATTACCCACTTACCTGTATTGATCGGGTTTATGATAAAAACTTTCTTTTTAAATCTGTAATCAAGCTACAGAAGGGTCTGTCCCCACTAGGGTAAACATCTGCCTAGTCATGAAACAGAAAAGTAGTGGGCAACAAGCACAGTATTTTAATCCATTTTAGCTAAAAAAGGTACAATCTAGGAACTCTTTGTTCATCTTCCTCAGACCAACAACTCTTGCGAGTAAAGTCACGCTGACTGATACTCTTTTCTCCTGTGCATAGAATGGCACAGAGAGAGAATCAAATACAAGACAACTGAATTTCAAAAGTGCCTTTCACATGGGAAATAATTAAGTTTCATCTCAGCTAGAAAAATCTCTAATATTTGTCCCTTTGCATTCAGCTGCAGCACTCTCATCAGTAACTATGATGAGCACGTTGAGGAGAGTGGAAAGTACTTCCGAATTTCCCTCCAAGAAAAGAAAGATGAAACTACTTAACCATTATGTTTACAAAAATCAAGGATTTCTGTTGAAACCGTAGCGTTGCATATACGGCTTTTGGCATACGTTTCTAGGTAATGCACAACATCTTGGCATCATAGTGAGCCGTTTCATTCTGACAAATCAATGCACAAGTGTGCCAGGGTTGGTTTTCTGTGTGTGTGAAATTAAGTGGGGTGTTTTTCCCAGTCGCGGACGATATGTCTGGAGAACATTTCGGCATTTACGGGTATGGCCCGGCTGCCAGCGAGGGCAGCCTGGGGAGCACTCTGCCCCCCCTCGCTGGAGCCGGCCGCTTGCTCCG